TAAATTAATTTCAATTTCTGAAATAGGGTTGCTCAAGTAAACACAAGTTGACATTACCAACTTGAATCAGTAATATGGTACCACAAGTGATATGTATTTAATATTATAAATTGATAGAAAAATCTAAAATTTGTTTAATAAATCCGAAATTTATAATATATAAATAATCAATTTGATATTCTTTTAGACAACACATTATATTATTTAATTATTTTTATCATCCTTTTAAAATTAATTAACATATTATATTTTTACAGATTTGTTTTAATTATATCATGAAATATTGTAATTGATTATTCTTTAAAATATCCTTTTTAGTTAATTTACATGTTTATAAGCTAGTTTTTGTCAAAGATGATTTGTTCATCAGCTAGTTTATCAACATAGTCTAAGTTGGTTGTTATTCGAAAAATTTGAACGTTAGCTAATATAATAACTGTTAACTAAAAAATGCCTATAAAAAAATAGTTGATGAATGTAAAATGGTAATAAAAAAAACTGACATGTTAATTCTAACATCATATAATATAATTAAAACAAATAAAATATCTGATGATAATATTGTGGGTAAAATATCTCAATATTTTAAAACCTAAAAAGAAAATTAATTTTACTTTCATTCTTATTTTGAAAATATCTCATAAACTATGACCAATTTTAATTTCGTTTGTCTTTAATAATTTGAATAATGAATTAAAATAATATTTTATTTATTAAAATAAAGATTATAATATTTTCAGACCGTTAGTTGATTTATAGCGGTTGAGATGGTGGGTGCTTCTACAGCTATAATCCAATGACAGAATAAAAGGCCACCTTGCACGATTCCATGCTTTTCTTCTGTATGTGTTGTAAAGCATACTAACAATTTCAAAATATCCCTTCAATTATGTCATAATGTCTATTTTGGTCCCTCACAGTTTCTTTCTTAACATTTTGGTCCTAAGTCACTCCATATAATTTGATCTGGTCAACTGCTATTGGATTTCTTTTTGATATTGGGTTTTTAAAAGCTTATATTTACAATATTGTAATCACTTCTACATACATTTGAATCGGGTCAAATTTTTTACTCTTGATCATTCAACGTGATTAACTGTTACGTTTGATTTTCAAATCGCTAAGGAATTGTTATACGGAACTTTACCTCTGAGCTTTTGGGTTCTATCATCTGTTGTTACATTATGCCAACTTTTTATAGGAAGAATTTTGTCTGGTTCAATTGGATGATGTTTGACTTACATAGAAACTGAATCCCCCAAGGAAATCAACTTGTCCTCTTACGGATCAATGGTGGTTGCAAGATGCAAAACAAAAGCATGATGACAGGGAACAGTACTATGAGAGGTTAAATGTAACATTGTTTGGAACCCAAAGGACGTGAATATGTAATAAGCAATGTAAAAAAAAGTTAATTGTATAAAATTGAATTAATTACTGAGGTCAACATGAAGAATATTGAGGTTGAGCAGTTGACTATTTGAAGTAAAAAAATCATAGTTTTGTAAAATTAAATGTTCTTTTTGCATGAAATTTGATTTTACACAATGTTTGGGAAGTTATATGATCTTGTACAACTAAAATGAACAAGTTTTAAAATTGAAAAAACTCATAAAGTATTGTCAAAACGAACTTACTCTAAATATTGGAATTGGAATTGGACCAAAGGCATAAGATTATGTTGATTAAATAAGGTAGAAATTGATACGCAAAGTCAGTTGTGAATGTATTCAAGAGACATCCATGTTAATTTTACTAAAACTAAGGTGGCGTTTGGTTCACAGAACGTTTTTGGATGGAATGTGATCTGTTAAAGGAATTTAACTTTGAAAGAATAGGAATGGAATGTTGTCAGGTTTGACCATATGTTTGGTTGACAGATATTGGAATGGAATCTATTAAGAAATTGGAATCTGTCTGTTTGGTTCACACAATGTAGTTTTAGAATTGGAATAAAATATTGGTAAATGACCAAAATGCCCTTTTTGATTTTTTTTAAACTAAAAATACTTTAATAAAATAATTATTTAATATGTAAACCAATATAAAATACACAACCCAAATATAATCATAAGACAAACGCCGTTACTAAATCGACGGTGGTCGGCGGTGGTTCAGATTGGTGGTGGTCCACAGTGATTCAGATAGTGGTGGTCCGCAGTGATTCAGATCGATGGTGGTCCGCAACGGTTCAGATGGAGGTGGTCAACGGTGGCAGCGGTGGTTGTTCAAATCGGTGGTGGTCGGTTGTAATAATCGGTTTGATTATTTTATCTTAAGAATTGGAAAAAGGTATTAATATATATATGTATATATATATATATATATATATGTGTGTGTGTGTGTGTGCTCGTGCAATGCACCGGGTAAGCAAGGTATGAAATTTTTATCGTAAATGATAAATGAAAAACCCTTGAGCGTAGCTCAGTTGGTAAAAAGGGTTAATCGATTTCGCTCAAACACACAACACGTTAAAGTTCAAATCGTGCGGGAGACAATCTTGAATCCCTC